GCTTCTCAGCAAACAGAACAATGTCCAAAACGGAGTCATATCACAGAATGAAACTGAAGTAACAAGAATAAGCAAGCCAATAACAAACCTGATAATAGTTTTCATAAGTACGTCGTTCAGTGTTATCAAACTGTGCCAGAGTCCCATCCTCATACGATGGCATCGTCAACGAATAACGTTCCGATATGAAACAATAATCATGCACGTAGCCAACCCACGAACCTAAACCAAGCCTCCTCTTCAGTGCTGTCATACGACTGATCAATTGAAATTATTACGATTCGAACAACAGACGAACAGTTAGAAACAATGTAATTCAGCAAAAAAATCTTTGATGAGAGATTTGGATGATGAAAGTGGATGACCAAAAAAAGCTCTAACCGGCATACTGTTGATCAATTAAACATCGAATTGGTTCACCGAACATCTGCTTCGACCCAACCAGAAGTGAGAAGAATACCAGCATCATAACCGTATAGTAATAGTTGCAACGATCTTAATTTTCATCCTTCAATCACTCAGCAACGAGATTTTGAAAGAATCAAACCAAAAAGGGTTTCAATCTCGAGAGTACTGCGAAGACAGTTACAATATGTGCGGTTTTAAATATCCACTCAAAGTGCCACTAAATCTATTTTTCACTGAATCACACGGAGTCGAACACGAGACGTATTTCCAGTGAATGAGCAATGAATTACTGCTCGCTCATGCAAACATTATCGCATTACATCAGTTGAAGTGCAAAAAGTGGTTGATATGACTCACCAGTAAAATCGTCCAACTTTGTCACCGATAAGCTCNACCGCTCTCCCGAAGAGTACATTTGCAAAATGTCGAAAACATTTAGTTTCTTCTCGATTACGGGAATTCATTTAAGCAAAACTTAAAGCGCTGCATAAATTAATGTAAATATTCGTTGATTCCATCTGAATGGTATCAAAATAACAATCTCGCGTATCGTCGAAACTATTATTCAAAGAAACAGAATGAATAATTTCGTGAAATGATGAATGTCAGCTAACTATAGCATGGAATAGATGAAATACTTCAAAGGTTTCCAGTTCAAGATGAAAGTTTCTACCTATGATTACCAGATAATGAGTAAATTATTTAAAATACACAAGAAAGAGAAAAAAATCGTCATTACTCCACCTCCCCTCCCCAACGTCTCATGCATGAATATCAAAACTAATTTTCAACCAAGACTCCCAAAGCACAATGACCGCATGGTACATATTCGTCATAAATTTTGGAAAACGATTATCTCATTCGTAACTACGAAAAGCGATAGAATCATATAGCACAATGAACACATGGTATACATTTATCAATAACCTTTGACACGATTAAGCAGTTGTATCGTTCGAAAAAATCGTTTACTAATAATTAAACAAAAACGGCGTTATATGCGATAAATAGAAAACTTTTCAGTGCAACCGAATAATAATAATCGCTCGTCTCGTACTAAACCAAACGTCTTTTCTGCCGTACCGATGAGCCAGCCAATCGCTCACGAAAAAGATGTTAACCAGTCTCTTAAGGAACTTACGAAATACTCGTTACTAATTTAATCTGATTTTCGTTTAGACTCAGACGAGCGAATGATACTCACAAAATAAGATAAAGAAGAGTGTTGCTATGAGCGAACCGCGTAAACACACGCAAGTGAAAAAGCACCACACGTTGGTGTCCCACCATAATATAACAAATGCACAAAATTCTGATTTCCCGATCCTCTCGATTGCCCCCTTGGCATCCCGAATAATCCTAAAGGGGTAATTTTCCCATATAAGAACCCGTACGCTAATAGATTATGAGGCAATCCTTGATCTTACGAACTTTACGTCGTAACTTTACTGTCGTGAACGCATCAAACATGAGGCATACATCCATTGATAGTCTGGCTAATCCAGATAAACCAGATAAATGCCTCCGAGCGATTCCGGTACACTCTAGCGATATTGTCAATGATTTTGGGTGAGAGAAGGAAGCAACGGAAGCATTGGTGACTGGCTGGTAACGTATTTATCATAATCACTTCTAATTAATCAAAAAATACAATAGAAATACGGACAAACTGTCCACGCACTGCAACTCGCAGCGACGCATCTCGGCTCATTGCCAGTAATCGGCCGGCGCAGCGACTTGCCGAGTGAAAAGTCCGAAAAGTGAGGGGTCGGCAAAATATTTTTACGATACGTTCCCATTATCGATTTTGTGCTCAAACTCGGTCAGCACTGAATAGTTTTGGATCCTCATTTCAGGTTAAGTTCAGGACTCATTTATCGATGGTTCCGATGCTTACAATGTGGATTTGGTGGATTTTCGGTAGAGTTATAGGCAAAAAACTGTCAAAATTTTGCACTCAATTCGAAAGTGCACTGGAACTTCTCACAGCGAATACAAATACCGCGAAGTTGAATATTGGCATTCATCTTGTTCTTCGCAACATCTCTATATCTGTACAGCTATAATCATGATATCTGAGATATCAGGATGAGATTTGCAGTCATCCGGTTTCTCCGGTTGACTGGGGACGTCTCAGATCTTTATTTCAGTTCATTCAAATGTTTAATTGAATTCACTTAATCTTTCAATTCAATTGTTCTTTCAGTTAATTCATTAATCTCATTGTGAGATCTTTTCAATTCAATTGATCTCAGATCTTTCAGTTAATATAAAATAATCGTTCTTTATTTCTTTCATTCAATTGAATCGAATTGTAATTGTTTCGACTTACATTCATAATGAAGTATCATTATGTTC